CAAACTGTATCAGAGTCATATGATTGTCGCCTTTCGAGCTGAGAATCCGACTCTGATCTTCTTGTGTTTTGAATGGGAACTGAAAGCGCGGGTTAGCAGGGCATTACGGGCCGTGGCAATCGCTGAGCCTCTTTCCAACGCCCTTTGTGCACGAGGCCGTCATCACAATGCCTTCTGTCATTCAGCCGGAAGTAGTGGAGGAGTTTCTTACAGCGTTCTGCTTGAGAAACTGGGAACAGATAATGTGGTGGCATCAGAGACAATGCTGCAATTTAAGGGTTCATATCTCTTTTCAAAAACATCAGTGCTTGAGTTTTATCGAGCCGCACAGATGGTTCTGCTTTTATTTCTGCTGCGGAGATTTCACACATTGGATGGTACTAGCTGTCAATCACGCAGTGCTTATTTTCTTTCTCTACTTCCTGATGTGTTAAATAAGACTTGAAACTAGTGATTGAGATCATAAACTCCTGAGGAAAATGTTTAAAGACAAAGAGTTAAATGTGAAGAAGATATATCAGCAGTCAGATTGTGGATGATGGCTTCATTTGTATTCCAGCTGTTTTCCCACATTTAGAAAACACAGAAACACATTAACAATTTAACATCAGCTGGATGTCTCGCCGCTCGTTTTCATTCTCACTGGAGACGACTTGTCTGTTCTCATCTTCTGTGCTCGACAGAAGTATTTTTAAACACGTTCAGGGAGCGTTCCCTGTCGACACTGCCACCGTAATCCAAACAGACAGTGCTGTGAGACCCTGGCAAGGTTTTACGTGCCTTCACAAATGTCACCCTACCTTGCCTCTGGTCCCTGAAATGTGATGAGGCGCAGACACACACACACACCGACACACACACACACACACATGTACTTGCACTGATTGCCACGCGGATGCACACGAGGACTGAAGTTTTAGTTATACAAACATTTCTGGCAGGCCTGGCTCATCCAGAGGCAGAGGTGATCTCATTGGCTGAGTTAAATGTCAGTGGGCTGGGGTGACCAAAAAAACCATTAGACTGCAGGGTGGTTAAGTGACGAAAGGTGACGGAGGAGACGCTCTTATGAATTCCAACACTGTTCAAACATATAAAATATTGTAAATGATCCTGTTACTTCTTGTTCTTCCAGCCCACAGCTCTCTGCTGACCGTCCACCACCATGAACCCTCCACACTGAAAGACTCATAGTTTCAAATCAATTTAGTGACTTTTAAATTATTAATCTGCAGAACTGCATATCTGAAACCTCAACTCTGCCCCACATCTGGAGAAAGATGCAGTTTAGCTCTAATCTGCTACATGCAAAGAAGTGTTTGGTATTGAAATGAGAGTTAACATCTGCAGAGAGCAGCACTTTGCATCAACAATGCTTTTGTCAAACTAATGGCATCGCTCCGGAGGTGAAACTAGTCCCACAGTAATCAGAAGGTTCCTCTTTCCATCGCGTCGCCTCCAGAGAGTGTTTTGAAGTGTCCTTGAGCAAGACTCTGAGCCTCTGCCTGCTCCTCGTGCTGCATTAAGAATGGCTGGACGAGACGCTGTAAAGCGCTTTGAGAGGTGAATGGACCAGAAAAAAGTGATTAACGTTCCAAGTCTGATCAGTGCTGCCAACTGTCTGGATCTACCACACTCCTGAGCTGTGGTGCAAGAAATACAAATCCTTCTACGTGGCAACATTTCAAATATGTAGTTTCCATTAAGTCAAGTGTCTGGATACACTGCAGAGGTGCTGCTTTTGCTTGTGGTCAGTGGCGGCAAAGAAATCATATTTGGGTTGAATAACATGAATTCGTTGCGAGGTTTTGAAACCTGTTCAGAAGAAAAGCCTGGATAATTGAATGCGTCACTGCAGAATGAGAAAATGCAACATTTCTCTCAAGTTTTTCATCTTTGTCCAGGATGGTCAGAAGTAGACGTGCATTCATATTTTTATTTATAGCTGCTTCATCAGTCTTCTCTGGTGATGAGAGGAGAGCTGGTGTTGGGAGTGGGCTGCTATTAGAGCCCATCAGAGGAGACTTGCATTCATGATATGGAAAGATATGTAAAATGGCATAAATGTTCAGGGTAACTGAGTGTTCTCTCATGCAAACTGTGTAGTAATCATCTTCCTCATAATTACTGCTTGCCTGAATATTAATGAAGCCTTTGCTGCATAGAGGAGCTGTTTCCAGGTGGGTGTTACCGAACAAAGAAAAACTGAGTAAATAGTGATCAAGGATCTCAGGTCTGCGGTGCGTCAGGTTCTGCCTCAGTTGGTGCTGGTGCTGCAGCTTCACCCCGGGGCCCTCAATACATACATATAATTTTATGCGCAGTGTGTAACAGCAGACACACACACACACACACACCGCTACCTCATTAGTGACTGCAGCCCCGAGGCTTACAAGTGGGAAGAGGCCTAATTGCACAGTTCAGCAGCACTGACAGTGCTCAGAGCATTTTGGAACAGACTTGAGCATCAGGTACAGACACCTCCAGTGATATTCTGCTATTTCTGACCCCTCCTGCCAAGTTTGGCTCAAAGTAAGTCACTGGAACTTTGTGGAGCTCGGTGGAGTGGAGCTCAGTGTAGCTGCGTCTCGATTCAGGGGTCTCATGCTTTGGAGGCTGCATTTGAAGAATGTTTGCATCAAAGTGGCGTGACTAGGCTGTCCCATTTCTAAGGCTCCGTCAAATGTGGGCAGATTCCTTCTTACAAAGTAACATAGGATCCTTCTCATGCCAACCTATCCCATGATTCATTCTGGCAGCAACAACAAGACCAAAACTCTCTATGCTAAGTGAGAGCTGAAACCAGACCTTGTCACCTCAGTTTGGCCTTCGGGGTCTACACATCCTACGAAGGCTGCCTCCTTCATGATCTGCAAGATAAAGACACAGAATTTCCAGAAAATCTGTGAAAGAAAATATATATTTATGTTATTATCATAAGAGATACACAATTTTTGGAGTAGGTGCCAAAACAAGGGGATGTGATCAAACGAGCAGGCAATAGTCATAATTAATTATCTCCTGTGTATCTCACTGCACTTAGTTGCTCTTTACTCTCATCACTTTATCAGTACCCTTACTTTTCAATCTCAGCCAAGAATAAATATGTTTTTGCAACATTTCTGCTTTTGTTATTTTAATATCGGGCATCTCCTCTTAATGTGCAAATAAAAACTGTGCATAAAGGAGGTGGATGCCACATTTGTGGCAACGTGAATCAACCAGCATCTTTTAATTTCTGTAGAAAAACACTCAGCCACAACTCGTCTCTGCAGATGTTTGAGCCTCTTTGGTGACTTTCTTCAGAGATTATTATAAAACTCACCGTCCTCCAAACTTGCACCTGGTGCTTATTTGTTAAAATGGGTTCCAAAATGCTCCGAGCGTTGTCTGCAATGCTGAACTGTTCAATTATTTCCCAAGTGCAAGCCTGGGGTTTACGGCCACTAATGAGGCAGCACTGTGTATGCGCTCTTATTCTGTTTTCATATAATTATGTGTTATTTCAGGAGGGGCTCTTCATGTATTTTGCATCAGTGCCCACAGTGACTTAGTGGGTTCAATCAAAACAGCACAAGTTCATAAATGCATTAACCCCATCAGTGAAGTCAATGTGTAGGATGAGACCCTTTAAATTACATCGACACTTACAAAAACACTTGCTGCTTCCAATTCAGCATGTGTAAAGGTTTTCTGCCTTTCTCTGATACGCAATACTTCCATCAGGTTAATCAACAGTAAAAATAATATCTTGAATGTCAGTGAAGCTGCAGATAATCTCCCTTTAAAAAAAGAAAGTCTTGAATTTCCAGCAGTGACTTTCTTCGATGCTCTTTACCTCAGAGAGAGCCTGAGGTGAAGAATTCATTTGCCAGCTGCTTTAGGATGCTGGTACATGTTTATATGTGTGTGTGTGTGTGTGTGTGTGTGTGTGTGTGTGTGTGTGTGTGTGTGTGTGTGTGTGTATCCCCCACAGGGGCTCCATCTTGGGTAGATGCTGTGTTGCTGTTACAAATGATCCTGTGGGAGACTCACTGACAGCCTGGCTCTTTGCAGCTCCACATATGGTTCGGCACACACACACACACACATGGACGCATCACGTTGCTGCAGCTGCCCACAGTGAGTGAGGCATGTTGGTCCCAGGGTAAACTCCCACTGCAAATCCTGTCAGCTCAGACAAAGTGTCAATCAGCTTGTCCCAGTCAGCTAAAGAGATGTGTACACGCCAGCAAAATAAACTTGACTGGCCGCCCTTGTCCTTCACAGCCTCTGATGGCAAATAACTCTGTTCTATTTTTCCACTTTTTAAAACTGTATCGATCAAGGGGGGTGATTTTGCTGAGCATGTGTATGTTTCTCTGTAGACTCCCCCCCATGGGAACTGTCCCGTACAAACACACCAAGTGTTTCATCAAGTGAAAGTCATCGAATATTTACTTTAAATGAAGCCATGGTGTCCTGGATGTGAATGCTGCCATCTTGGATATTTTAATAAAACAAAATAGAAATAAAAGGCCCTCTATTGTCACTGCACAAGAGCAGTACAATGCAATTTAGAGATGTTCTGAAAAAAGTGCAACTATAAAACTCTGACAAAAGAAAATAGAAGAAATTACCAAGTTCTCATTTATATATATATATATATATATAAGATAAAAACCTGTGAATCCTTCCTGAAAAGTCAGAAATATAAAATAAAGTCCTCACTGAATTCAAAGGCCTCACAGGAGCTGCACTGCTGATCAAATCCATCAGGGTGTTTCTATAGCTTATACTCGTCTGTCATCTTGTGGACAAACAGTAGAATGCAGCCAGGTGCGCATCGAACAAAAGGTTGTTTCACAGTTATAATTAGAATATTAAAAATAACACACAGAGGCCGGTGAAGTGTTAAGGCTTTCATTTTAAATCCCAAACTTTCTGCTGCATTTGTGTAGAAACAACAATGGAATTATGTGTTGGTTAAATCGCGCTGGGGGTTTTTTTTTTGTCCCTCACGACTTCCCGTAGTTTTTCATGTTGTTGTGAAAGCTCCTTCGTGCGGCTGAAGCAGGTCTGAACAACATGTTCTATGTTCTAAAGAACCTCTTAAAGTGATTTATGTTTGTATTTTATGATGCCGGTTTGAAAAACGGCCTCTGTCTACGTTGTCTGGTGTTAGTTCTGTTGCGTGGCGTCATATTTAAGCGCATTTAAACACTGTTGGAAAGAGGGAAGTGTCCCGTCAGCTGATCGGCTAGCTGACATTGAGCTAGCGGCAGCAGCTAGCTTGTGTTTCTTATGTTTTCCTCATGTGTTAAAGTAAAATACTGTGTTAACCTCTGAAGAAACAGTCTCGATCCTGTCTGTTTTCACTGCCCCGTTAAAGACACGCGTCTATTGCATCATTACAGCTGCTAACTCCAGCTAGCTGCAGGTTAGCTTGTTGTTTTCGTGTCTCAAACAGTATTTTCGTGTTGATTTGTTCCAGTAACTGTAACTTTACTGTCGCACAGGTTCCAAAGTTAAAGCAGAAGACACAGATCACGATGTCCGGCGGCGTAAGTTTTATTTTCACTTATAAACATGATGACAAACTGAATCCCTCTTGTGTTTATCGTCCTCAAAGTGTTTTGAAGGTTGAAATACATCTTGTACTGGCCAGGTTGTGTAATATAAGCTGTGTGTGGGTGTCCTAACAAGCAAGATACCTTTTTACATTTGTACGTTTTTCTAACAGAGTTAAATTGTCCTTAGCTCTTCTATATTAGTATATATATTAGGGCATTAGTTCTAGATGGCTGGTGCTGCAGTGGTGTGATGAAAACCTTGAAAAGGATTGTGGGCTGTTGCATGTGGGGGTGTTTCATAAAATACAGTTTGCTGATGACAGTTGGTCTCGTGTCTCTGCAGGTGCTGTGTGGTCGAGGCAGGTTGATCCTGTCTCAGACGGCGGGCCGTCAGGCACTAGCTGCTCTTGGGGTCGGCAGAACCAGAACCTTCTCTGCTGCAAGCTCGGATGAGCCTTATATAACTGTATCTCACACAGACTCGGGTGAGTCAGCCATATTGGAAGTGACTCTGTCACCTTTCACTGTAGCCTCTAGTTCACAATTGGCTATGATTTGTTGTTTTTCTGCACCAGCTCTATTCTGTTGATGAGACAGGATTGTGGGTCTAATGTCCTTGTTGTGTCCTCTCCAGGCCCCAGGACTGTGTGGCCCGATGAGAACATGGGACCATTTGGACCTCAGGACCAGCGCTTCCAGTTACCTGGCAACGTTGGGTTTGACTGCCACCTGGAAGGCATGGCGAACCAAAGGAAGACTCCAGTCCACAGGACGGTACCTGACGTGCTGACGGCGCCGAGCAGCATAGAGCGACACCAGTTCATACTTGCCCAGTTCGTCAGTGAGTTCCAAGTAAGTGTTTTGCGTATTTAATACTCTTTGCTGGCAGGGCCATAGTTAGTATTGTGGAGAAGGCTCTTAATTGCAATTTATGTTTGAAAAAAACTTTCACAGAAACTTTAATGTAACAGCTTGCTTTAAAGCTGCTTTGTTAATGTTGATTATTAATGTGTTTTTTTCTGGAACGTGTGTTTACCAGGGAAAACTGGGTCCTTTATCTTTGAGAGTCCACAAAGCTGAGCAGTATTTTACCCAGACAGACACAGACTGCAACATAAATTCCTGCCCTGAGCTGTTGAGGAAAGGTGAACAAAGTGAAATCCTCCTACACAGAGACTCATAAACTAAAATCAAGAAAGCTGCATCATGTGCTAGTATAATACAGTTTCCTTCCTTCCTTCGTGTGTGTGTGTGTGTGTGTGTGTGTGTGTGTGTGTGTGTGTGTGTGTGTGTGTGTGTGTCTCAGATCTGGAGCTGCTCTTTCCCTCTGCACCCACCACATCCATCACAGTTGTGACGGTGACCCAGAGGAGCATTGGCTGTGAGGAGCAAGTGGAGGAGGAGGAGGAGGACAAAGATCAGCTGTTGCACAGAGTCAGTCCTGCCATATTTTATTTAGCATTAAAAGCCTTGAAATGTGAGCTGCATAAAGTTGAAGCAGCTGCTGGTTGTGTTTTCTCCTGACTGCAGTTTGTGAGTGGAGCAAAAGAGATGTGCTTCGCTCTGTGGACTGCAGGATACTGGGCCGACTTCATTGACCCAACAACAGGAACAGCTGTGAGTTATTCGTTGTGTTTCATATTGTGATAGATGTTTGATATTCAATTTTAATGCCTGTCCCTGTCTCAACGGTATGATTCTTTCCGCGGCGCGTTTCCCCACAGTTCTTTGCGTCTCCATCAAGTCAGACCACACTGCCAACAGACGAGGACCTGAGAGAGCTGGGCTTTCACATCGAGGTGTCGGGCTCCTGCACTGTGATCCGCCACATCCTGAGAGGAACGCCTTTATTTGTTGGGACTGTTTTCACTAATGCGCCAACATACAGCACCGCCATCGCCAGACTACAAGGACTTTCAAATATACTGGATGATGACGAATAGGCTTTTTTTTTCTTTAAAATATTTTATACTGAGCAAAATCCAAACAAATGACCTCTATTTATGGTTTGAAGAAGCTTGGACGTGAATGTACAGTAGTGTTGGTGCACGGTTTGTATCCGTGAAAGGTTTGGCTCAATGAAATACACGGCGGCCAGACCAGTGTTTTATCACTAAGGACTTGAATGAGACTCTGATTTCAAACCCAGCTTATCCCACATTACATCCAGGGAGAAACACACTCGGTGCACAATGTGATATTTGCCATCTGAAGAGCTCTGCAGGAGACTTTTAGACGATGGTATCATCATGTTTTAGAATATTAGAAACATGTATGTAACATGGAAACCTTTCAAATTCAGGCAGCTGATGTAACTCATGTAAAAAGATCCAGACTCTGAAGAAAATATAGTTTTTAAGAAGTTGCATCTAAGCCTTTTCAAGGTGCATTTGAATATGTCATTTTAGGAACCAAGAAGTGATTTAAAGACCGTAATGAGCTGCTGGAGTGAGACTTGGGTTTATTCAGAGCAACATGTTTCATACTTGTGTGTATGTACAGTGTTGTGTTTTTTCTTCTTGATCTGTTACACAGAATCAGAAGAAATATGGATACTGTTTGAGTTGAAGCATTACGCTTCAAAACTGCTGAATAAAGAAAGTGACCTGACTGCAATTACACTATTTCTTGTAGCTGTGAGTATGTGAGTCTCATTTTCATAATAAGAGTTCTAATATATATTATAAAATATACAAAAAATTAGTTTGCGCTATTGGGAACAAATATGAACGCAGTGTTTTCACGTTTGGATTTGTCCAAATCTCAAATTCCAACTTTTAATTGCATTTCTGTGACTCTGAACTTTCTGGAAAGTTTGTGAAACCCCCTGATGCATTTTAATTTACTCAAGCTGGATACAATAAACACAAATTCACATGCATCTGTTTTATCATAATTTTTAATAGCACAAGATGAGGAAGTAAAAATTGTTCTTCACCTCTATCAAATTTCTCAAACTGTTCGACGATGTCCCACAGATGCAAAGTTTCCCTCTCAACGCTGTCCAGCTGTGAGGATGATGATGGTGATGTAGCTCAGCGCCGCAGGAGGTCGAAGCCTCCTGCTCGAGCTGACCAGAGAAGTGGAGGAGAAGACGGCGCTGCTCTCGTTCCTCGGCACCAGCATGTTACAGATGTTCCCCTCGCAGCAGGACGAGCACACCTGACAGACGACATTTAAAGGTTGAATTCATGATCTGTGACTTCTCTGTGTGTTGATGCAGTTTAATCCAGAGGCTCCCTGTACCTGGTAGCCGTTTTCGATGACATCAGTACAGCCAGGATAGAGACAGTCCTCCAGGGTGGCACAGCGCTTGGTCACAGACACACTGTCTCCATTGTAGTCCATCATGTGGAGTGTGGAACAGAATCTGGTCTCTGGAAGAAACAGACCAACTTCATTTATTTGTAAGTTTACATTATTTAAGAAAGATAAAAAATCCCCCTCTGATAATCAAAAGTCTTGTATCATCACAACCATAAACCATATGGACAAATTATTTTTGGTGTAATTTTAACCAACCTTTGGGACAGTACACGTCCGGCGCCCAGCGGTTACACTTGTAGTTATCTGCAGCATCTCGACACGTGAAGCACTTGAAGCCACCGGGATGAGGTGTAGCTATGGAGGACACACACCTAATGATTGTATTCATATTTCTAAATGTGCATCAGTGAATTCTATTTTGAATTGTGTGAAACAACAAATCTACATGGTGTTTGCAAATGCAGCTCTAACACATAGACACAATAACTTCACTTGTATGGCAGTCGAAGATAAAATCATCGCAAAAGAGAAAGGAAAGACAAAGATCTTTTCAAAAGTTAGGACGGAAAAGCTTTTGTTTGAGTTTTGTCAGTTGTTTTTCTTGTCCGTCTGCTTGACTTCAAATGGTTTGTTGCTTGGGGCCCGAGAAAGTGCAGTGTTGTCTGTGAAGTGTGTGTCGAGGACCCAGCTCTAACTTAACCCTAAATCACTCTACATCGTTTTCTTTAATCTTTATCAATCTGATTACTCAGCAACATTAAGTCTGATTAGGAAAACACTAAGCTCAGTGTCTACGACAATAACAAAACACTGTTTACTATTCTCATGACCCACGTGACAGACGTTGTCAAGTTCATACAGAAGAGATTTGTTCTCCAGACAGACAGCGGATGTCGGCCTATTGCTCCGACACGTTGATGAAACAACGAGCTGTTTGGCTTTCCCATTGGCAAGAGTCATATCTGTACAGAGAGTCGGGATGTGTTTCAACAGAGACAGCTCTAGGTCTCAGGGTCAGAAGCTTTTCAATCACAAGACAAAGCCTGTTCCTCACGAGACACACACACACACAAAACTCAATCAGTTTGCTCGTTCCCAAATCTTTTATCTCATGTTCCTTTTGGTTGTGGAGCCAAATCAGGGCCAATTGTTTTGCTGAATTTAAAACTTAATTTGCAATTATGGATTTTTTTTTAACTGTTTATTAAAAATAAAAGTTAGTGTAGGAAAAGTTATTTTCAATTGAAGTAAGATTTTGATTAAGTTCTGGAATTCATATGAATACAATTTTTGTTTACATCAAACATTGAGTTGATTATTTTTTTGAATTCTTTAAATTATTTGCTCCTACTTGAGGGATGCAGAAGGATGATGTCCTTCAGGGTGAAGTCCCGTGACTGGACGGTTTTCAGCCAAACAGCAATGTTAATTACCAGCAGGACCCAGGCCACAGCTGGCCAGCCCTCCATCATGGGCCCCAAAAAGCTTCATGCACTCAATGCCTGTGAAGAAGTGAGGGGGCGGCAAAAATCCAAATAAACTCAGTACCTCACAATTTCATTCCCAATTTGCCACATTGGCTCTTGCTCCTGATAAAAAACCTGACAGATGTTGATCTTGATCTTTAATAAATAGATGTTAAATGTGAATAACAACACAAGAAAACACCTTTAAAAGAGCATATTGAAAAAGAAAATATAGAATATACCAGGACTCGGTCTGTGATCAGCTGTGTCTGCTGCTCATGCTGTGAGCCTGCTTCATTATTTAAGCGTCAATAGGAACCCCTACAGGTCAACTCTGAGCTTTAACTCTTAGCATCCCTCACCGGATATGACTGATTGCACAGCAAAGGGCTGGAAGACATTTATTCTAACAACATTGTCACTAACATAAACATGAGTTATGTTTCAGTCACAAGCCCCAAACATCCTGTGGGAATTCAGCCATTATAGTCTCTGCTTGCCAAATGTTTTTTGTTCCTTTGTCATGCGATAGGTCGGCCATCAGCATTTTTAATCGTCTGTTATTGACAAAGACGGAAGAGCATGTTTAATATATGATAATACATAATTATATAAATGTATATTTTCTCTACTTTATATAAAGATGGACCACATGACAGCTATCCAGAAGTAAAGCCATAAACCCTGCCTCCCAATCTTTATGTGTGTGTCTCGTTTGTCACTGTAAAATTATTTTTATTTTACTTACATTTTCTTACATATGATCTGTTTCATCTGCAGCTTATTTCTAGAAGATTTTTTCCTAGAAACGTGATCAGTTGAGCTTTTCTCAAGTCCTCTTCATGGATTCACTGAGATGTCAGTCAATGAATTAAACACCAGATGACCTGGTTTAGATCAGCTGAGTTGTCTGAGATCAGCTCAGAGTTCAGATGCCTCTTAACTCAGTGTTGCGTACTTTGTGTATTATATCCTCAGGCGTTATGGTCTCTGTTGGCTTGTAAATGCATGTTTTCTTTGCGTTATTCATGCTCCAATAAAACTGATCCAGTTCTTTGAGAATCCGGCTCCATATGCAGCATGGAGATGCCTCGTCCATCTTTATTTTCAGTCTGTGTTTCACCACCATCGGTTGTAAGATTTCAACTTGCACTACAGAAGTTGAGTTGCTCTCTGGAAGTTAGACTTAATGACATGATGCATTATTATTCGGAAGGATTGGGTGAAGTCTTTCAGTCCACGGGCTTAGATTCATTAAACTCCTCTGAGCACTAGTGCTACTGTATAGCTAATAATGAAATGCCGCATGCTGAAAAGAAAACTCAAGATTAGCTCTCCAACTCTGAGCTGTCGGATAGATGCTCGGCCTCGCCTGGAGTAAACTCCGGTTTGAGTCTGGAGGGCAGGGATTAGGTACAATGGCCCCCTATTACAACTGGAGAGGAGATGGAGGGTGAGGTGGGGGCGTTCAATCAGCACCGACCAACTCCTTCAGGTCCAAGTTAAAAGGCCACGCAGCGCTGAAAGAATCTGAAGGAGCGTAGCTTGTAAATCTCTCTGTCTCTCTTGACAACAAGGGGGTGAATGTAAAAGTTGATGAGTGAGGCTGAAACGTACGGCTTCCCAGTCAGTTTTATTAATGATACACTACAGGACACATCCACACTGAAATAGTGTCACGTTTTCTTCCCTGTTCTCTCATCCTGCTATTTTTTTAAAACAAGAAAATACAAAGAATTACATTTAGAATACTATTTGACTCACGCCCCCGCTCATGACCTCTTCATACCGCAGATAAGTTGCGTTCATCTGCTGAATCTGACGCGATAAATCAAGTCGCCAGAGGTTCAGAGGTTGAGGTGTGCTTTACACAAATATATTGCTTTAAATATATCTCACGTATTCCTGAATGGTTGTGTAACATAACTCAAGGTAAATGTCATTTATGTCTCAGCTTCCAGGGATGTGCTGTCAGAGATCTTGTATATTTATGACTCAAAGACACACTTGAACCTAAACATTGTAAATATCACAGGTAAAGTCATATATATGCAGAAATAAATATAACTGATGAGATATTTGATAGTTATGGTTTTTGACTGTGCAAAAACATGTTTGCAGTCTGGGTGTCGCTGGGGAAAACTTGTTTAGTTACACAGATCAACCAGAATTACTATAATAATCAATGATAAAGGCATTTGTGCTCACAAATATTGAAACTGACGTTCTTTGGGTAGTAAAATAACATGTCTAATGGGAACTATTTAATTGGTGAGATGAAGGACAAAGGCTCCATGTTGCTCATGCGTGTCTAAAGAATACTCAATCAAGTTTTAGGCCACCAGGGTTTTTTCTTTGAAGCTCAGCCGCAGCTCAGCTCCATCGACCAGACGCACATCGGGAGCTCGACTTCTGTCACACAACTGCTCCTGAGGTCAGAGATACACGGAGTACTCCTAAAATATTACAGGAACTCTTACAGTAGTTCTTGTATTTTGTGTTGTAACACTGGCGTCTTGCATCAGTTCAGACCACCATTACACACACAGCCACAGTCTGCACCCCCAAGCATCTCCACACTGAGTCAGTGCATGACTGTAAGGTCCCTGCTGAGCTGTGCATCCCATAAAATACTTGATGTCTTCAAAAACATTGTTTACCATGGATTTAGAAAGGTCAACATCAGACCGGTGACTTCTAATAAACACTTATATAGTGGAGTAAAGAATTAGTGCCTTAAATGATTTTAACACTCACATACAGAGTTTTACATGATCTGTAACTCCCTGCTTCTGATGTGTGGATATAGAATATCACATTTAAACCTATTGATATAACAACCTGGTGCTATAACATGCACATTAAATAGTAATTTGATGAGTTTTGTTTACATATATATTTGCAAATGGACTTTAAAGTGATGCTCACACATTAAATCCCATTTTAATCTTGAATTAGCAAAGTAATCAGTCAATAATACTCATGCACGACACATAATATGTCATTAAAACTCCCTGTGGAAGTTTATAATGTTACTCACCGGGCTGCGTCTCCTCCTGAGTCTGCAGATGAAAACCAGTGAACTGCTGCTGCTGAGAGGAGGAGGGCGCTGCTGCTGCGTCACCGTGACGTCATCACCGTGCCCATCTGGCCCATCAGGCAGACAAATGATACCTCCCACAAAATGTGTTATTTTTATTTACAGACGATATATTAACTCATAAAATTATCTAATATAAAAATTAACAATTCGTCTCTCATTTACAAACATTATGGTGTACAGATCATAAAATCTGGCACTTTGGTAATATAGACAACTTGAATAACAAGACATAAATAATAAGTTATAAGTTATAAGTTATAGACAATAAATAAAATAAAAGATAGAAGTCAAATAAAAAAAAGAGATAATCTAATCGCCTAATTCAGATTACAGATGACTGTTTCTCAGATATGTACAATGATCAAAAGTGATTGAAGGCCTGAGTGGCATCCATATTATTTCACTTTACACTTACACAACCACTTCCTTATACACATTCCCTGAGTACAATACAAGGTATGTGGACAAACCATAAACATAAGATCATCTTTGACAAGCAGCAGCCCTCTGACCCGTCTGGATACATGATCCCTGACAGGAAAGTATGGAGGACAATAGCAGCCCTCCAGACACTTGTCAGAAAGAGGAATTTCAGTTGCATTTGCACACAGATGTGCTTCAGTATGTGGACAGGTGTGTCAGTCATATACAAAAAGCTTTTAGCAGCACCTGAGAAATATATATGCTGCTCAGATAACTGAGAGCAGAAACACATGCAGTGAATGTGTTTGGGTTGGAAACATGGGTTATAGGGCACTTTATTTTGCATTGGATTTAGAAGCCTTTAAATACTGCATATGCTGAAAAAATAGAAATAAAGTTTATTCTTATTATTATTATACCAGCATCCCGCGCACAGATCTCTTACGTACGCTATTGGTTGGATCCACAAAGCGCTGCGTATTCGACGTAACCATCCGCCGCCATCTTTGGCAGTGGAGAGGTGTGCAGCATCCTCACCGGTTCATTGGCCCGTTTTCCTCGAACTTAGTTCATCACAGAGACGGTGCAGCTCCAGCATGGCGAACCGAAACCTGCAGCATGCGAACATGCAAAGCAGCAGCTCTCCACAGCCCCCGAAACGCGAGCCCGACTCCCCGGCTGCGGAGCAGTCGCCACCGGGGAACAAAGACAGCCCCGCGCCGCCGACTCCTCCGCAGCAGCCGCAGCAGCAGCAGGAGAAGTCCCCTGCGGCCGAGCCAGCGGAAAGAGACGGCGAGGGAAGCGGAGACAGACCCGCAGAGATGACCCTGGACATAACGAGCTTTCGGAAGCCCGGAGAGAAGACGTTCACCCAGAGGTGTCGCCTCTTCGTCGGGAACCTGCCGCTCGATATCCCGGAGGAGGAGTTCACGGACATGTTCGCTAAATACGGCAAAGTTAACGAGGTGTTCATCAACAGGGAGCGGGGCTTCGGCTTCGTCCGCCTGGTATGTACGAGCCCAGCCTCTCCACTTCCACCTGCGCTGACATTTAAACTGTGATCTGTTTATTTGTACTTTTAATTTCACGTGTTGACTGGAAAGCATGGCTAAGCGGAGTTAGCTGCTAGGCTAGCATTAGCAAACATGCTAGTTCACTTTACACTATTATAGCTCTGGTTAACGTCACTTCCTGTTATAATAAGTGGCTGGTTGTATTTCTCGTATTTATGAGAAGGCTCGATGCGTTTTAAACGTTTCAGAGTTGATGACAACAAACATGATTGTGTCCGAAGCTAAAGACTGTTGACATGTCAGTGATGACAGCAGGTTGTTGGGTTTTGTTTTGCTCCTCTACCGTCACTTCCGTCGTAATGTTTCTGTACGTCACATAATAAATATATAAACCTGATTTGTGTTTACATGACACTTTGTGATAGAAAATAAAGTTGTGTTAGATATTGTGCTCTGGCAAGTATAACATAGCTTTAAGTGAAAATGAGAAACACAAAATATCCTCGATAAACACATCAATTAAAGTAAATGTTAACAGAAGAGCACCAATACAACATATGTAACATTAGAATGCTAATGACAGCGTTAGCACTTTACTCTGCAGCCTTAATAAATGCCATATGCCACAGTGGTGTGTCATCGTCCCTAATGTGATCCCTTGTCACCCAGGAAACCAGGACGTTGGCAGAGATCGCTAAAGCTGAGCTGGACGGGACCATTTTGAATAATCGCCCAATCAGGATCCGCTTTGCTACACATGGTGCCGCTCTCACAGTCCGCAACCTGCTGCCAGCCGTGACGAATGAGCTGTTGGAACAGGTAGAGCTGAGAAGATGAACTCTGAAGAATGTCCATATGTATCCTGAGTCTGCTGTTCGGTTGATTGGCTGAATCTGAAAATTACCATGTCCTCCTCAGGCGTTCTCTCAGTTTGGGCCAGTCGAACGAGCCATTGTCGTGACAGATGACCGTGGGCGTCCCACAGGGAGAGGCATTGTGGAGTTTGCCAACAAAGCAGCTGCACGTAAAGCCCTGGAGCGCTGCACTGAGGGAGCACTGCTGCTGACCACGTAAGGAGTGTGGGGTCTCGAGGGGTGAACACACAAACTTGCTGGGATTGAATGAGTGTGTGGAGTAATGTCTTTGTATTACTGTAGTATCCGGAGTGGAAGAAATACTCCAAATTAGGTTATACTCCAAATGTTGGGGTCATTTTATACTTGAGAACGAGATGAACAACAGGCTTGAGTGTTGAAGTTTTTAAAATGAGAGTTCAAATTCATTGAAGTCTCACACAAGCTTGGTCCTTTTCCTCAGAACGCCTTGTCCAGCCATTGTGGAGCCCTCAGACCACTTTGATGATGAGGAAGGATTCCCTGAGAAGCTGCTGCAGAAGACTCCACGTTACCACAAGTTAGTAGAGAAGGGATTTGTTGTCTAATGCAAAAGGGTACAAATACATTTTTGTTTCAAGAAACTGTTCTTGTGTTTGTACTGTTTTCAGACCAGTGGAATTGTAGTGCGGTCTTTTACCCATCTTTCCTTTCCCAGGGAACGGGAGCAGCTGCCACATTTTGCCCAGCCCGGTACGTTTGAGTTTGAATACTCGTCCCGCTGGAAAGCTCTTGATGAGATGGAGAAGCAGCAGAGAGAGCAGGTGGACAGGAACATTAAAGAAGCCAAAGAGAAACTGGAGGCTGAGCTGGAGTCGGCCAAACATGAGCATCAGCTCATGTTAATGAGACATGGTAAGGGCTGTTTGCTGGTGTTTACATTTTATCAGTAAAGTCTGTTTTTGTGTTATTGTTCAGTGCTCACTCGATGCGTTTGGTTGATAAGAAGTATATTTACTTTATTCCAGATCTAATGAGACGTCAGGAGGAGCTGAGGAGACTGGAGGAGCTTCGTAACCAGGAGCTGCAGAGACGAAAGCAGATAGATATGAGGTGTGTCGCCATTCTTTGAACAAACAAATCATTTATTCTTTTTTGTTTAAAGGGGACCTATTATACTTTTCTTTCTTCTGCCTTGCGTTCCCTGTCTGTAGACATGAGGAGGAGAGGAGGAGGCGAGAGGAGGAGATAATGCGACACAGAGAACAGGAGGACCTGAGACGCCAACCAGATGGCTTCAAACCAAACTACCTGGATAATGTGAGTACAGCTGAAATGTCTGCATTATGTTAAACACACTGAAGCTTGTCCAGTTACATTTGCACTTTTCATAAATCAACAAAATGCTTATCAGCAAGTTTCTCAGTTGTCAGTCTCACAATAGTTGCATAGCGTTATTTCCTTTTCCAGCAGATAGAAGGTCTTTGTTTTTTTGATTAGATTTACAGCCAGATTATTCAGCAGCATGTAAAACCACCACTGTGGAATATATATGTATATATATATTTCGTTTCTTGCAGAAAATAGGATTTCAGTGTGTTTAATGCTAAGAATGATTGTTACAGTTTTGGATCAGTGGCAAGTGCATTGCGTCCATTCGATCAGCAGTAAGGGTGCTCTGATCAGCTGTTTGGGGGCTGATCTCCGACTGCAGGATGCAGCATCAGCCAGTCTCCATGATATATATTCAGAATCAGAATGATGAATACTTATGGATCCCTGAGGGGAAATGTAATCACATCACATTAGGGCTGTGGTTTTTTCCCACAAATTAAATCTGCTTCTCTGATGCTTTCGTGTTGTGATTGTCAGTTTTGCTTGCTAGTGTCTTTGCGGACGTACTTTACTGGTCAAGAGGGCAACCTGATAGTTAGCGACCACTGCTGGATCCCGAGGCAAACTACCTCAGACGTTCTGATATCTGATATCTGCCTCTAGTCGTTATATTTTAAGTACGAGCAGGTCACTGCAGTTTGAATTTAAAAAGTGTGAATGTCTGTTGGTGTGATTCTGTATGTTGTTATTATCTGTCATAACTTTTCTCTTCAAACCCTGTGCTCCGTTTAGACATCCTGTTGGAGTCGGCATCTTTACACGTATGCATGTGGTCTGTGAGTTTAGTATAAACTCACAGACCACATGCATCCAGGACCCTCAGCAAAATTCAATTAATTACAGCTTACTGTCCTCAAACCAACTGCCATTTAGGTTTTTAGTTATTGTGAGTAGTCTTGTTAATAAACACAGAATATATAAAGCTATATATAATATAAAGCTTGCCATCACTGCCCTCTTGTGGACAAAATAGTGTAGTGCAGGCTTCAGTATCGTAATCCCAAACAGATTTGCACAAATAATAATAATATTTGTAACATGCTCATTTTACAGGTAAGTATATAAAGAACACAAAGGCTCAGGTTTATGTTTCTTCCAAAATTTCATTTTTTTATGTATTCATACTCTATATTTAGACTTTTATATATTTTTGATTGATTTACAGCTGCATTTCAACACTTTGCATATTGGTCTTAAGAGTTTAAATGATATTGAGTCATTAACATGGGCTCATATGTTTAGGTCATTGATGTCCAGCTGGTTTCACTGAGTTGTATGAAGCCTGAGGTGTTTCATTATAAATCAAATCCTCGTACAATTTTAAAAACAATCTGAAATCAGACTCAGTCCAGATCAGTGAAATGTGTTAATGCTGAATTGTATTCACCTTCTGAGTTTGCAGGATGATGTGTGTATGTCTGTTGGTGTGGGTATAATAGTAATATTATCTATTTATATATAGTGTGTGTATCCATAATGTGAGAGGATGTGAAAAAAATGTACAACTGAATGAATGGATAATAGAGTATCTTTGTTGTTGTGTGTTTGGGCCCTGACACACCAAACTGACAGTTAACAGGCGGCATTCAGCAGCTTTTTTTCACTCACTGAGGATGTTGAATCTGCAAAAGTCACTTTAGTTTAAGTAGCAGGAGATTGTTCAGGTCAGATGTGTTTACACATTTTTTTTTAGAACATTCAAAGACACCTTCAAGAGATAGGAGATGATGTGTACACTTTTGTTTTTACAGATACCGGCGTCAGCCTTTATTGGCAAAAGCTCTGCCTGACATTTGCGTTCTCAGCCCCACTGTAACATTTCAGGAAAATGTTCGGCACATGTCTGGAAGCAGCACATAGTTAACTTGGTGTGTTAGGGCCTGTGTGAAAGAGTGATTGCAGTAAATGACATTAACTTTTCATTTGGGTTGGGTTGGGTTTTGTAGAAAACATAAATGCTTTCAAATCAACTTTTTCAATTTACATGTACATGTATTCCAGGGCGCCATTTTTTTTGCCCTTTTTGCAGATGTAGACACTCGTAGCTGATGTGACCATACACTTGTCAGTAAATGAACAGCTAATGTAGCTTCCTTGCCAGAGTTGCAGTAGAAGCAAGGATGAGTGATGGGGAAATATAAAAACAGCCATGGATAATTTACCTGGCTTATCATCAGTTCTGTGTCTAAAACAGCTACTTTCACAGTGTGAGTGTTGTCCTGTGGGCGATCCGCTGAAGACTTGTACTGTAGCAGAGTATTATTCTCAAGGCTCTTCTTCACTTCTTCCAGAGAGAACAGGAAATGAGAGTGGGTGAGCTGGGCCCTCGTGGAGCCATTAATATGGGAGGTATGGGCATGATTGTGAAATGAGGACTGGTTGATAGAAAAACAGTTCAAGTGAATATAAGTAATTATAAGTGCTTTAATGTAATTTTACATAATTGTTCTTATTTGTCTTGCATTCCAAGTGAGTCCCATTCAACGAGATGTACTTTCATTTTTAAAAATTAAAACTCTGATGCCCCATTTGGTGTAAAATGCACTCACTTGGCATGTGGTACAAAAGGAGAAGAAAACATACGATACCACCTGACTACATGATGTCTGAACTAACAGAACATACAGTGTGCTGAGCAGGGTTGACATTGTCGGGGTTGGGGTGTCATAGTTTGAGAACTCTTTGGTCCCTGAGCTCTCATCCTGTGTCATGTGCAGATATAAAAATCATAGATCATAATTTTCTTATCAGGAATCAATGATAATAACAGAGTTCAACTGGTGGTTGTGATTTAAACATGAAGTTTACATGTTGAAATGGCCTTTTTTACTGAGGAAAGAATAATTATTCACAAGAATGTAACAATATGAAACTACAAAGTAAAGTGTGCTCTGCTGCTGCAGGATGAGGGGCTGGGGACTGAGGTTTAAATCTGTCATGTTATAAACAGGATCAGATTGTCAGAGGGTTCACGGTGGATCCTCACCATCCAAAGAGAGGAACCTTGGATTGAACATCACCTTTACAAACAAAGCTGCAGTGTTTCATTCATATTTACATTTTAAACTGGAAACCAGCTTGAGGTTAGACATTTGATGTGTAGGTGATTCGGGCATCTTTAATGTTCGCTGCTCTATTCTATCTATTCACTGTGTGAGTGGATATGTGCACCTATGATACTGAATGCTGCAGTTACTAAGTGCAGAGTCTAGTTGATATTTCTACAACGTGATGTAGCAGAAGGAACAAACTTGAACGTCTCCATTTTTCCAAATACTTGTACAGGTACTACTGTCCTACAACTGCAAAAGTGGGCAACGTTATCTTGAGTGAAATATTTTTAATGTAGCATTAACTTAGATAGTATTGAAGTTCAAACGTAGTGCACCAAAGATGTGTGCGGTGCACTAGTGGAGGGATTCTTTAGCTTGGTTTGTATTTGAACTTATCTTGTCTGTGTAAGTCACTTCTTTTTTTGTATGGTTCAATGTGGGTTTCTAACAACCTCATCTCTGTATTCTCTATATTGAAGGTGATGTTCAATCCAAGGGTTAGTTGATAGAATTTCCATTTGGTCTAAATTTTAGTTGAAGTGAGAATCTCTAAAGCTGCTAATTTCACAGTCTTCTGTCTCTGTCCCTGTAAAAAATGTAACCTTTCATATTTCTTGTGTAACATATTTTAGCGTCTGTCAACTTTGTAAAATGAACGTTGTTTTTTGGTTAAGAATGACATTCATGATTAACCAACAGATGTTTGTTACATCTTTTTGTTTTGTTTGAAGTTTAACGTAAAGACTTAAGCATGCAGTTATGTGTATTTTAAATGAGTTGCAATGGTTTGAGTACTAATAATTCATGGGGATGCACCAATCTAACCTAAAAACTATTAATATTCTTAAACTTCTCTTGACACTGATTCCTGATTCAATGCTAATGCGTTTTATTTTTCATATTAATTTAATCAATCAATCAAATTCTGGGCCTAAATGTTGGTCAGCAACCTTTTCCCCCATGAAACAATGACGACACTCCAACCTCAGTAAACATTCCTTTTATCAATATGCAATGTACAAAGAAAAATCTGTTTCATAGTATTCAGTGCTAAAAAGCAAATGTTAGCAGATGTTAATCGTAACATGTCAAAAACAACTATACCTGCTAACATCAAGATGTAAGGATAATCTCTGTGAGCATGTTAAAATGCTGACATTAACATTTGCTTCACTTTGCCCATGTGCAGCCTGATAGAGCTGCGAGCAAGGCTGTACTCTATTTTCTTTATTTTGAAAGTCCTGTGACCATATCCTGTGCTGATAGCAGTTGCTTGTGATGCACATGTTGACTAATGCCACCTCCTGTGATCTGTTAGAACGATTAGAGCAGAAAACTATTCCACGTGGATCCGTCTCTTCTTGTAGGAACCAATCAAGTGCATCCCTCACCATTTTAGGTGTTGGCAAAAAGTCAACGTTAACTTTTCATTTTAAGTTCATGAGAATAGCGCGCAGCTAAAAAAAATGTCTTTGGGGAATTACATTTATTTCGTGGAACTATGAAATGACCAACCCATGCTCCGTTGTTTTGCGTGTAGATGGCTTTAACCAGGCCCCTGCAGGGCCCGGTGGTAACCAGGGTCAGATGATGGGCATGAGTGGAAGGGGAGGAGCCATTGGCGGAGAGGGAACTGCTAATATGGGCACACCATTGATGTCAGAGAATGGAGCCATGGTAATGTATCAGGAAAAATAAAAACAACGCTATCAGTTATCTGGAAAATGAATGCCTCTTTTATCAAATCTGTTGGCAGAACATTGCCTCATTGTGTCTGTATCAAAAAGATAAATGTAAATAATTTGAGTTTGACCGTCATCCTACCCTTAGATGCTTTATACTAAATATACTTTATACTTCTTGAATCTGTAGAAATAACTAATAGATACATTTTTCTCTCTCCCTTTTACTCTTGGATGGCGACACCATGGATCAACTCTGATTCATGAACATGAAAACACGTGGACAATGTTTTCATGTTTGATCCCCAAACACGCTTCCATCCCTATAATATCAATACAACCTCACAACACCCCACTACCCTTTTTGTAACACTGACCCCATGAAACCACAGCGAAACGATAGATACCCGCAGGGTGGACCAATGGGGGGCCGACCAGACGTGGAGTCCCCAAAACAACAACAGCAGCAGCAACAACAACAACAACAACAACAACAGCCACAGCAGCCATTGGCCCCCCAAGTTGTACCAGCTCCAGGATTTGGCAGGGGGAGTCCAGTAGGGGGAGTCTTTGATGGGCCTAATAACAAGCGCCGCAGATACTAACTTGACAGTATTTTCATGGGACTTTTGATACTGACCCTCTTCTTGTTTTGTTTTTTTACCTAGTTTTTGTTACTGTTCTCCCTCTCGCTTGGATATGTTCAATTGAAAAGAGCATTTTTTAAAATCTGTTTTGTTTTTTGGAGGTCTAGTGTGTAGGGTTTAGGAGATATATTGGCAGATGTTGAATATATAACAGTAAATATGTTCCCTTAGAATAAACCATTAATATCTACGATGGTAGCAGGTTAACTTCCATGGAGCCATGTCTCTTTGGCTCTAGTTGCCCTGAACGGAGAAACAAAACACTGGCTTCAGACGGGGCCTTGTGAAATTTGAGGACAGCTCCAGGCAGCTATATGTTCTCCTACACACTAAGTAGGGGAGGGGTCAGGCATGGGATATTCAGTTGGTTGCAATGTGCTACTTCACCACTAGCTATCACTAAATCCTACACACTGTACCTATACGTTTTTCTGCAACAAATGTTTTATAGTACTAGTAGAATTTGCAGGCAGATATTTTTGAAGTTGCTATGGCTGCTGTTGTGCTGGATAGACTTTATGAAGCTGCCCTGTGGGAGCGTTGAACTGTTAAAAGATAAAGATTGGACTTTGTTTAACATCAAGACCAGACTAATGACGTTTAAAAAAAAATGGTACTGGCAGTAAACCATCTTAAAAAGCCATATAATGCCTTACTTCATTCTTGTTGGATTTGGTTGTTGTCTCCCTGTAAACATACTCGGAACTTATTTAATGTTGGATCACAGTGGGGGAAATGTGTGGCTTTAGTGCAACCTGTACTTGACGGTCAAGAGAAATAAATCATTTGTAGGAAGTCTTGTGTCTTTGTGGTTTTAAAGACTTCTCCCTCCCATTTACTAAACTCCCCTGTCAGGTTTGCATGTTAGGTACAATTGTTGACAATAAAATACAATACAAATATTAAAATATGATGATTGTTATTATGAATGCACAGTTTAATTACTTGAGAACCTCAGTGAGTTATTTAAGGTGCATGTGGTCAACTGGCAGCACAGTGTACATTCTAACAGCAACAAGAAGTTGAGATGCTGCTCCTCCCAGCAGAGGAGGCAAGGAGCCTGAATTCCATTACACATGATTTAAATTGTGAGCTGTTGTCATTCAATATCATTTTGATGTGTGATCACTTGTCGCCGTCTAGTGGTTGATTGGATTTACTGCAGATTAAATGAAAATTAACTTTACACTGGAAAAAGTGGTAACGTGTAATTCTCTGACCCTGACAAAAAGAATGTCACGATTATGTCTGATAAAGATTTTATATTTTATAACCTGCAGTATGAATTTGTTCATTTATTGGGACATAAACAGAAAATGCAGAACCAGTGACGGCGATCTGTCTCCATCTTGTGGTTGATTAACTTTACTGCAAGTGCAAAATAAGTGAAACTTACTACTACTATTATTATTATAATGATAAGATTGAACCAGTAGCCTCATGTTGCTGTTTTTTTGGCCCTTTGAGAGTTTTGCATGGTTAAATATACAAGAACGTTCATATTCTGTAGCAGCTATACTTAAATAATTATAGACATTTGTCATTAAATACATTTATTTCAAATCTATTTGCTGAAATTGTTTTTAACGTGACAAACAGTAGTTCTAGTAGTTCTTTAAGTAATCCACCAGGTGGCAGCACAACATATGCAAAGTGTGTGCGCCCCTGAAAGTCCACATCGACAACGTAAATGAAAAAATCTGTCGCAAACACTTAGAGCATGTTTGATAAATGATATCAACAATAATTCCACGTCTATTGAACACAGTTTACAGTTTAATATGATGCAACACAAACACGTGGGACTACAATGTAGTTTCAAACCAGGATGTGTTGAATAGTTTTCTCTGATTTATTGCTTGTGGTCGCGGGGTAACATCCGTTTTTCCTACCAAATTAAAGGCTGGTCCAACGACGTGCATGCAAATGATTCACTAAATTACAGCTAATAATATAACACCGGATACATATGTCACATAAGAACCGACAAATAAAGGTTATTCAAACATAAAGCTTATTTTTCAGCAATATCATATTGCTTTCCAGCTTTCGCTATTGCAGTCATTTAATACCAGTGATTTAATGATAGAACATATTGTCGAGTACAGCGTGTCTCTTTGCAGTGAGGGGTTCGATCATCTGTCTGTTCCTGAGAGGACTCTTATTGTGAAGATTTGCTCGGACAGGAAGTAGCTGCGGGTTGTCTGCGCGTTGTGGATGTTGACGTTGACTTGACGCATTAGCCACAGTGACGACTGGTCTCCGCTGCTCAGGTGAGTGTCCCCGACACCGACGCGGGGTTTAATGTGCTTCATGTCTCGTGTGTGTGCTCAGGTGTGTGTGTGAGTTCATGTGAGACGTGTGTAGCCGGGCAGCCCTGAGAGGACGAGGCGTTTCTGTCACATGAGGAGGAGGAGGAGGAGAGAGGAAGGCTAAAAAAAAAACAACAGAAATAGGCTTTTTGACAGCTAGCATCTAAGCTAGCTTGGTCAGGTAAGGTCGTCTGTTTACCGTCATGTCAGCCGAGCTGTCACTGGCTCCTTAGATCTTATTTGTGAAAGCCCACGGCGGAAATACACTCGATTGTTGGTGTGTTGTTGCCGAGTAGTTAAACCACCACCATCGCTCCAGTCCTGCAGCTGTGAGGGAGAAAGTCTCTTGTTGTGTTGCTGCTGCTGCTGAAAATAAAACCCTCCATGATATGTAATACTCAAAGTTGTTGTCATCCGCAGTGTGACTGTGTCTGAGGATCCCTCCGAGAAGAAGAAGAAGAAGAAGAAGCCGAGCTGAAGAAGTGGAAGCAGAGGCCCAGCTGCTCCGATCCCCCTCTGGGACTGTGCTGCTGTCCCCTGCCGTGGAATAACACATTCTGAGGGAAAGTTTCTGCCTCAACACGTCAACCATCGCCCCCTTTTCTGGATATTTGAAGGAGAGTTACACCTTGACAGACATGCTGATGATGAAGATGAAGATGAGGAGCAGTGATGCCCAGCAGCAGAGGTTCAGCTCATGACTGGAGAGCATGAAGCAGCCAGGGAAGTGACCTCGGTGGACACTACAGGTCGCGGGTGCTACACGCTGGCACCATGGCATCCAAGGAGAGACTGTATGAGGTCTGGATGCTCTACTACACTAAGGTACACACATATACACACACTACTACTGTGGCTGATGTCACAGTGTGAAGTCATGGGCAGTGTGATGGCATCCCCTCCCTCACAAAGAGATCATTTTCTTTTTACATTTTGGAGTGAGTGAGTAAAATCAATATGGCATCTGCTGACAGATCATTTTAAAGCGAATTGCATTTGTTTCACACCATAAATAACACTTTTCATGTGACAAACAGTGTGCATATATTTCTATTATCCATTATCTATACCGCTTATTCTGGAAGTTCTGTAATGGACATTGGGCAAGAGGGCTGTAACTGCAATATCTCATCATCAGTAAAAAGAATTCCCCACAAGTAGGGATGCTGTGTGGACATGTACTACAATCTAATAATGTCAGAGGATGGGGATGGGCACTGCTGCAAGCATAGTGTGTTGCTTTTGTGCAGATGAATGAATGACACTCTAGTAGAGACAGCAGCCCTTGAGTCAGCTGTTGGCTAGATTTAATTCACTGGGCGATGCAGCATGTTCGCAACCTGGCGTCCAATCAAAACGGTCCGCCTGAGCCTCTTCTCACGTGAGCCAGGCTGCAGTCACACACTTTCTCTACACCGTAATCCCTCACAATACCACACTCACACACACACACACACACATAGAAAACACATTAAGCCGTTTCCTGTAAGTTTAGGATGGGATATTGAATAATCCACACATGTTGACACAAATAGAATATCTCATTTGTTGTGGGTGTTTTTGTGGGTTCAGGGGTATTAGAAGTATTCAGGCACAGCGCTGCCCGCAATGACTTGTCACGGTCACTTGCGAAAAGGCAGCACACACATTTGCTCTAGCTGAGGTCTGTATTTGCATTGACTAAGCATTAAACTGCGACGAAGGATCGTCTCATTACATTCTGGCTGTGAGCCAGGGTCCACAGGGCCAGTATTTCTCTTTGCATGAGGCAAAAAGAGAAGCTGAAAGAGAAGCATTTAAAATATATATGTGTGCGGCAGAATGTGTCTCCCTCCCCGAGCAGCTGTAATGTCGGGTATGGCTGGTGGGTTGTCTCTATGCTATGTGTGTGTATGTGTATGTGTGTGTTGCCAGGATATGTTGCCTTTGAGGAGAACCTGCAGTCACATGGACCTAAATCAGATGAGGAATGTCTCTACATGAGCCCTGAGACCCCCTGCGTCCAACCAAAGGGTTAATTACATACAACCTCAGAGCTTCACCTCCCCTTCAAAGCCTCTTGTTGTCTCAAGCAACAATTTTCTTATCTTAACTGTACGCCAGAACTTAAGACGCAATCTGTACTACTACTACACATTCACTCTGCCTACATTATACATGTTGTTGACTGGTTAAATTAAATTGATGGACAGATACTGACTTTTTCCATCCAAATAGAACCATAGTACTGCAACTTTGAACATGGAAACTACATTTTTATTTGAATTCTTCAGAGAGATGACTTGCAAAGTGTTTTGTTCTTGTGGTCATCCCCCTCATGTCTGCTGTCTGTGTAATGATTGACAACAATAAAGACATGACTGCCTGTAATGTCAGAGGCTGACGCTTGAACTCTTCCCCCAAGGAGGAGTCAAGTCAGATGTGTACTGTTGACAGTAGAGGCTTGCTTTTTTAGAACCAGCTCATCCTGTTCTAACAACCGGACACCAGCAGCCCCATCCCACCTTAGTTATTCCATATCTCTGCATATCACCTGTGTGCACCTGCTGAAAGAAAGGAAGAGGCCATGGGTTTGTTCTTAAACAGATGTGTGACGCTTGTGAGGAATCATTCTGCTCAAAGCTGCATTTCTAGTCAGAAGAGGCAGCTGGTCAATATGTGAAATTATTGATGATGAGATCAGAAGTTGTTGGGTGAAGCCGGGTCTCTTCCACTTCCTCCAACTATCCAGAAATAACAATATCCTGGATATGAATGCTTCCATCTTGCACATTTGGAGCCAGTCTGAGCAGAGGATGGAGCTGTAGCCGTGAGCTGCCGTCAATACACAGGAAAAAGTCCGGAACACCGGTAGAGCATGTGGGAGGCAGGACACAATGTATCTCAGGTTTTTTTTACAGCACATCCATACTGGCGGTGATCCAAAAGCTCTCGAATCTCTGTCTCTTTTCAAGTTTACATCGTTCAGAGGGTTTATTATGTGAGAATTTTACCAATTAGTAGTTGCAGTTGCTGAGCTTCTTGGAGCTGAAGAGGGCCGATAGGTCACAGCCAAAGGCTAAGACAGTTATGTAACAAGCGATCCTCTTAGCTGCCTGTTATTGTGTGTTGTCCTCCAAGCAGAGGGAAACCGCTGGCTGCTGCTGGTGCACAGTGGCAACAACGCAACCCTGCAGCGGCTCTCCTCTGTTTCACCAGTATATCATCTAGAAGGGCTTTTCAGAGAAAGTGGAGGCTTTAGCAGACTCCTCCTGAATAATGCCAGTTACTCTCTTAAAGCCTTTTCGTCTGCTGCAGAAAAGCCCCTTTAATTCCCAACCACAGGGAACACGCCTCAACAGACACAGGGAGTCATTTCAACCTCCAGCGGCTTTAAAGCTGAGTCCAGTATCATAATTCCTGTGGAGAAATCTACACTAGAATCTGAAAAAATTCTCAAAACCAGGACCCCCCCCAACCAACAGCAATTTGCATAAACCCCCTGCACTTAATGGCAGTCATGATTTAGTGAGAGGATTGGCAAAAGTGAAGCAAAAGGAAAACAGACAGGAGGAGAGGGGGAAGGGAAGTGGAAATAAAATTTAACAGTGT